AAAAAAGGGAATTTCCTCTTGTACCAAGGAGCAGATGAACATTGATGCTCCTCCCTCCTAAATTAGTGGGTGCTGTGGTCAGACTAAGACCAAGGAGATAGCATTACAATTCCAACTTATCTAGCATCACATTGAAGTATAATGGGGCTTGCTTTAGCTTAGCATGTTGTGTGAACTCAGCCATTCTGGCTCAGATGAACTTAGCTATTATATTATAAAAAACAATCAATAGCTTAATGTGAGTTCAAACTGTTCTACTATATTTAGGCTAATCTATTTTGAATAATTGTGATAATTAAAATGGTAACAGTTGAAAATAAAAGCTGCTTTCATTTTCTTGGAAGAAGGTAAAGCAGAGATGCCATAATCAACTTAAATCTATGCTAAGATTGTTTTACTCACACTGGGAGGGGGGGGGGATAAAATTAATTCCCTCTGCTCTTATGCTGCTTTTAGTCCAAACTAGTCCTTATGATTACTTATTTTAAAGAAAAAAAATCATATATGGTTGTGAAGGTGCATGAATACACACACATATCGATGCATATGTATTTAGTGTATAGTGCTAAGTCTCTCAAAAATGGTTGAACTAGACTTAAAGTCTAGAATTAATCATTGGAAGGCTAAATTATCCAGAGCGTATGCAAGAATGTCATGTATTCTCTTCTAAGGATACTTAGTCAGTACCTTAACATTTTCTCCACATCTTCTACTGTCTCTGGTAAGGGCTGCCCCTTGGTCTCAGGTAAGAGTAGCACCAGAGTCCCACAGAGAAGAGAAAGTATGCCTACGAAAAAGTGAAGGGAAAAATATATCAGGCATTACACATTCATCCTGGAATTTTCTTATAATTCTACTGTTTGTGCTCGGGAAAAAATACAGCTACAGTTTAAATAGTTTTCTTATGTAGGGTGCAAGGAAAGGTCTAAATGAGCTGATTAAAACCCCATGAAATATTGCACTGAGGCAGCATCTTATATATTTAAAATATAGGTTCAAAATTGAGGTATAACTTATCCAATTGTATCAGTATCAGGATTCGGGCCAAATATCTTGACACTGCATTGTTCTAGCAGATATGGAGTATATATAAGAGGTGGGCCTGAGATGGAATCCTGTCATAGTCCTATAGATGGTGATCCACAAATCAACTTTTCCCACCTGGAGCTCCTAAGATATGATGAATAATAAATCTCATATTTATTAGGGTCATATTTGTCGGGAATTATATTTGGGAAGATTCCACACAGTCAGATTCCTCAAGCTGAGCTCAACTCCTGGTGACTACATAGGTACAACCATACCATTTTTTTTTACAACAATATGGATGTGATTTTTTAAAACTGTGTTATCTTAGCAAAAATGCTATAATTTAGGTTTTTCTGGTTCATTATGATTTTAGAACCAGCTCTTGCAGTTATGGGGGAGTCTTCCCAAACACCTTAGGTGCAGAATTATATATTAGTCTGGATTTAAACATAAGGATTAGGTGACAGCATTATTTTATTTATGAAATAATATAATAAGCTATTTTAATTGTAAAACAGTGACCTATGTCAAAGATAAATTCAGTTAAAAATAAATTCCAATCCATAACACAGTTTATTCTCTTTTTTAACTGAGACTGTATAAAATGAACGTAATAAGATCAGCAACGTGGAGCTATCTTTTAGGATGCATAATATTCTTACAGGAAAGTAAATTCTTGGACAAAAAAGTAGAGGTAGTTCTCAACTTACAACCACAATTGAACCCAAAGTTTCCATCGCTAAGCAAGGCAGTCGTTAAGTGTATTTTATCTCAGTTTATGACTATTTTCTGCCACAGTTAAGTGAGTCTCTATAGGTGTTAAGCACATCTGGTTTTCTCCCTTGACTTTGCTTGTTAGAAGTTTGTTGGGAAGGCTACAAATGGTGATCACATGACTCCGAGACAGTGCAACTGTCATAATCACAAGTCCTTGAAATTTTATAATGTGACCCTGAGGATGCTGCTACAGTTGCATGAAAACCAGCCCTTGGTCACTTTTTTTGAGTGCCATTGTAACTTCAAAAGGTCAAGAACTGAATGTTTGCATGTTGAAGACTACTTGTATTGTAGACTCATGATCGTTCTGAGTACCAAACTCACTTTTTACGCAAGCATGCCCCTAAACTCAGGGATGAAATTTGACTGCTTTGCACCAGTTCAGGCGAACCGGTAAGGACGATTTGAATTGATTCACCAAACCCGTTGGCCCCACCCATGCACGCACGCTTGCCGCTCACCCCTTCCAGCTGCTTGCTCGCTCATTCACCCCTTCCACTCGCTTGCTTGCCGTTTCAGCTGCTTGCTCCGCCCTTCTGCCCAATGTATAGTGCCTTCATCACACGACCCAGCTAATCACCTCATCCTCTCAGCTCACCAAAGGTAAGCAATGACACCCTGAGTACCAAACTCACTTTTTATGCAAGCATGCCCCTAAACTCCATTGTGCATTGTAATGTGGCTTTGGAAATGAGGCATTTCCCTGGGGCATCATTTAACAAAAGAAATTAAATCCCATCCCCATCTGCCATTTCTGCAACTCCTTCTCCTCCAAACCATTTATCTCTGTACAGAACTCCAGATGCGTTGGCATTTTTGTAAAGATATTTTACAATGAGTGCAATTTTTGAGGAGGGTACAGTACAAATGATAAACATCTCTTCCCAACCCCTATCCTCTTTTGCTGAAAAATCCCCTCTCTCAAAGTTGGTTTGACCACTACTGGCACACACTAATGTTCAGTATGTGCATTTGTTCATCACATTGTATGGATTTTTTTTTTTTAGTTCTGAAATGGCATCAACCTTCAGCTTTCTTCCAAATTGGCAAAAAGAAAAGCAAATGTTGAGAATAATTTCTTACAATAGACAATCAGAGGAAGCTCTGACCAGATGGCTGCTAATCGGTAGAGCAGAAACGGGGCTACCGTGCCCCCTATGTCGCACATTCCTGAACATAGTGAGACACCAAAGTTTCTGTAAGAAAAAGAAAACATCTTACTTATGATGTATAGTTTTCAGTTTCAGATTAATATATGCACTCCTTTTCACCATATACCAGGAACTTTCCTATAGGCATGTAAGGTATCCATCAGGTATGTCAGCGGCCCCCAATGTTTTGGCACCAGGGACCAGTTCTGTGGAAAGAAGTTTTTCCTCAGATCAGAGCAGGTGTGGTTTTCTGTGCTGCCTGCACCCCATGGATGGGGTTTTGCTTCTTTATGCGGTCCGGTAGTTAGCATGTAGTGGATTGGTTGGGAACCACTGACATATGTGATCCCCTTGCTTGCTAACTACTTGTCTTTGACTCTATAAGGGGGAATCTAGAAGAGTAGAAAAGATTAGCTCTCCATTTGCAAAACAGAAGCTCATGAGAGCTTATTGATGAGCCATTATCCAATTGATGAACATTTTCTCTTTTTCCATCGCCAAGGCAATCTCTCCCTCTTTCAGACCTTCAGCACCTTCTCTTAGTATCTGTTTATAGGCAATCTTTAGAAAAATATCTTCCCTCTATCCACTCCATCCTCCATAGAGGCATGCAAGCATGGGTGGAGGGATTGTATCGGGAAAAGTGCCTAGTTGAAAAAATGCTGACGTGTTACCATCTGATCCCTCACAAAAGGCTTTTCAGCTCAAAAGAAGGAAGGTGATTTTTCATTCAGAATATGTTTGATCAAAACAACCCTTTGAAATATTTTGTGAACAATTATTCAACTACATTGAATAGTTGGAATGGAGGGAAGAATGGAATGGAGGGGGGGGGGGAGAGAGAATTATCTGTGTTTGTCTTTGTGAAATGTCCAAAATTACAACACATAAGATAGGCAGCTTTATAAATCATTTAAATAAATATATGGAATTAAAACCAAAAGGGAGGGATGGTGGGAGGAAGGAAGGGAGGGAGGGAGGAAGACAGAAAATGAGCGATGGTGGAAGGAAGGAAGGCAGGGAAGGCGAAGAGAGGGAGGAAGGCAGGAAGTGAGTGATGGTGGAAGGCAGGAAGACAGGGAGGAACGATGGAAGGCAGGAAGTGAGTGATGGTGGAAAGAAGGCAGGAAGGAAAGAAGGAGGGAAAGCTCCTACGAGGGGAAATGCAAAGCTATCAGATGACAATTTCTCTTGCTGCTAGAGCACTTGAAGGCCTGAAGGCTGGATTTGAATGAGGGAAGACCTCCTACAAATGGCAAAACAGAGGGCACTAAGGATTTCTAGAAGACGGTAGTATTTTCAAGAAAAGACTAATTTTGCCACCAAGTTTAATACAGACCATTACAAATAGTACACCACAAACACTTTCACATACATCTTTGTATGGAAGCGTCCAAGAATTGAGAGCTGGAGGAATAAGGCACTTTCCAGATAAGTTTCATTAAATGTCTTAATTTGTAATAATTAGAAATTTATACTTAATATCATCCATTAATCAATACTAGATTGGCCTTGGTGAAACATATGGACATTAAAGTAGGAAAATATTCCCCCACTTCTGGAAAAATGACAAAAAGGCTGAGAAATATGCCTATCTCCTAAGGAAAATTTGCTTTGATTTAGGGAGCGTTGTAAGCAGATTCAAATAGGGTATTTGTGGTTGCGTATAGCTCATGTCCTGTATATTTCCTCTTCTCTAGAGCCCCAATCTTTTATACATTTCTTGGTAACTCTATCATATTGAATACAACAGGGTTTACTTCTCAATATGTGCAGACGTAAGGATTGCCCTGCAGTTCTATGAGCCACTTTCTCGCTAAATATTATTTCTTACTTTTAAAATGCCTTCAGAGGAAAAGTTGATTTTTTTCCTGTGATCTTGTGAAAATTTCTCAATGTGTAGATTCCACTTACCTGAAAACTGTAGGATACAGTTCACTATTCACAAGATACACAAGTTCAAAAGTGATGGTGATTCCCAATCTTGCCAAGATAGCTACTGCTGTACTTAACCATGGTATATCTGTCGAGATACACAGTAGGCAGAAAGGAAATGTTAAAAGAATTCACTTAACCTTGGGACCCAGACATCAAGACCCTATTTCTTAACCAATTTTATTATCTTGGTCTCTGGCCAATGTTATTTCGTGAATCGTCTTCCAAATTAATTAGCCGAAGAGTTTGATTTCAGAATCATTTAAGTTTTTACTACCCAGGTTCAAGGCTGCCCAATTCCTTAATGATTCTTGGTAAATTCCAAATAAAAAGAGAGGCAAAAGACAAACAGGGCACATAAAAAGAGAGATTAGCCAGAACAATACAATTAGTCAGATTTAAATACAGAGGGTTCCAACAACCACCTCATCTTCAGATCTGGGAAAACAGCCTAGTTTTAGATTTAGAATAACTTTATTGTCACTTTGAATGTACATTAATCAACATGGTGTAGGGTTTCCTGCCTAGACAGGGGGTTGGACTAGAAGACCTCCAAGATCCCTTCCAATTCTGCTATTGTATTGTATTGTATTGTATTATACACTGAAATGAAATTTCATTGCATACAGCTCTCAAAGTTCTTAGTGATAAAAACTGACACACCAAGAACTTAGCCTATTTCTTAGTGATAGAGACCAACCTTCAGAGTGCTAGCGACCAGCTGGAATATAAATTCTTCCATTCCCCACCGGTCAGCCTGAACTGGAAAAGGTTTCTTGGATGAGAAGCAAAATATTTTCAAGAAAAAAAAACAAGAATGTCCAGACGCCTTTGGAAAAGCACCTTTGGGGCACTTTAATTATTTTTTAAATATTAATTTAATGTATTTATACAATTAATCTACTGCTTAAATTCTCACAATCTCAAAATGGGTTGGACAGCATCACCACTGGATGGATTCATAACTGGCTGACCAACCACACTCAACGTGTAGTCCTCAATGGAACTGCACCTACATGGAGGGAAGTATGCAGAGGAGTACCCCAAGGCTCTGTTTTAGGCCCAGTACTCTTCAACATCTTCATCAATGATCTGGATGAGGGGATAAATGGGGAACTCATCAAATTTGCAGATGACACCAAGCTGGCAATAAAATAGCCAACACTCCAGG